GCACCCCCAAACCAAGGTGAAGAGGTGACGGTGAAGAGCCTTTCCCAGTGCAGATGCAGCACGTGGGAATGGGGGCACCACATCTGGGCCACTGAATCTCTGCCCAGACCAAGACGGGGTCACCAGAGGCTTTGGGGTGCCACCTCCCCACTCTTGCTCCCCTCAGGATCTGGAAAATCTTCTGGATATTCAGCTTAGGGATCAGGGACCCTAAGCAGAGGAGATCCCAGTTCTTCCCGAAGGGAACACCAGAGGAGGTGCCGATCCTTCCCGGCGAGCCGAGCTCTTCCCCCTCTGCCCTGGAGACGGCAGCAGCGAGCCGCGGCTGCGGGGCCCGCATCGCCCCGGCCCCGGTACCGGCATCCCGGGGCCCGTGAGGAGATGCAGGGATGGATGGACACGGGATGGAGGGACACTGGAGCACAGGGAGAGAGGAGCGGAGCCTCGTCCTCGGTGGATTTTAGGGCGTGTGTGAAGCCCCCGGTCCCCGCCGTGACGGAGCCCCGATGTCGCCCGTGGGAAAGGGAGGGCGAGGGCTGGCAGGAACACGCAGCGTGGCTGCCAGGACAGCGGATGGTCTCCAGAGGGGGTGGGGAGAGGGCAGGAATAGCCTCCCCCCCCGGAATCCCACGGCACTCCCGGGAGCTCCTGCCAAAGGGGTGCTGAGCCCCCCCCTCAGCTTGGTTTGCAGGATGAGCCCTCCTGGCCTGGCAGTTTGGAGCCACCGGCGTGGAGAGTGCCAGAGGAAATTTAGGGATCCGGAAGGGTGGTGGGGGAGGTGGGAACACCTTTCCCACACTGGAATCCCCATGCCTCAGTTTCCCCGCTCAGCGCTGGCGTGGGAACTGGAGCAGGGTGGGGTGTGGGCAGTGTCGAGGGTGTTGGGAACACCCTGTGCCAGGCAGGATGGGGTCACCCACTCACCCCCACCCACGGGGACAGGCCGGGACCCAGCCCCTGACACCGTCACTGAGGCCAGAGGAGCTGGAGGGGCTCTGGGATTCCCCCAAAAAAGGAAGGGCTAGGAGCAGCCCCTGGGGCCCTGCGTGGGGGCTGAGGCACTGGGGGGGTTCATGGTTGGATTTGGGATACTGTGCGTGTGGATGTGTGTCCATGTTGGCTGGATTAGGGTGTGCCTGTGTGCACACGTGTGTGCACGTGTGGGCCCCTGCTGAGGGGGTGCACGTGTGTGTCACAGCCCATGAGAGACAGATATAGACATATAGACATATATAGATATATAGACATATAGATATATAGACATATAGATATATAGATATATAGACATATAGATATATAGATATATAGACATATATAGACATATAGATCTATAGATATATAGATGTGTGTGTGTGTGTGCACAGTGTGCGTGCAAACGTGCATCCATGTATAATTGTCTGTAGACACGTGTGTAGGTGTGTGTAAATAGTCATGTGTGCATACATGCAGACGTGTGAGTGTGCACAGACATGTGTGTCCCTGTCTGTAGACATGGGTGTAAGTGCACAGAAGTGTCAGTGCACACATACACACATGTAAGTGTGCACAGACGTGTGTCAGTGTCTGCAGGCATGTGTGTAAATGCACATGTGTGTGTACATGCACATATACATGTGTGTAAACGTGCATGAGTGTGCACGATGTGTCAGCAGGCTCATATGTAAGTGCACACACGTGTGAGTGTGCCCAGACACGCGTGTCAGTGTCTGTATCCACGTGTGTCAGCGCACATAAGTGCACACAGGCGTGAGTGCACATGTACACATATGCAGGTGTGTGCAGACACACGTGTCAGTGTCTGTATCACATATGTGCATGTGAACACACACAGGCACCAGTGCATACCCGCACACGCGTGTGAGTGCGCCCGGACACGCGTGTCAGTGTCTGTATCACCTATGTGCGTGTGAACACACACAGGCACCAGTGCATACCCACACACGCGTGTGAGTGTGCCCGGACACGCGTGTCAGTGCGTGTGTAAGCGCAGAAGCGCACACACGTGTGAGCACATGTGCACACCCACGCTCAGCCCCCGCGCCCCCCGCCCGGCCAAGGTCACGCGTGTGCCGCATCCGTGTGAGCGCGGCTGGCGGGGAGCCGGCCGGGGGGGCCGGGGGGGGCCAGGCCTTGGCCGGGGCAGCCGCGGGAGGAGGAGGAGGAGGAGGAGGAGGAGGAGGGAAGTGCGGCTCAGACAGCGCGGCGCCAGCAAACACCTGCAAACAGCTCCGGGCACACAATGGCAAATACAGGTGGGAACCGCCGCCTCCGTCAGCGCGGCGATTGCATCAGACTGCGGCGCTTGCCAAGAGGCGAGCGAGCCGGCCCAGGGGCCACCGGCACCGCTCGACCTTCACCCCCCAGCCCCGGGGTTAGTTTTTTGCCCTCCTCATCCTCTTTTCTGCACCCCAGCAGTGGAGGCGGGGGGAGGGGGATAAAAGCAAAGCCGGGTTTGCTCATCTCATCCAAGGGTGTTTTTCCCGTTCCAGTTCTCCCCCCCCCCGAGGTAAATCCCAGCCCCGGCGGTTATTTTTAGTTGTGGTTTTTTCCCCCCTTTTTCTTTTCTTTATATTTATTTTATTTATTTTTTTTTAAATCAGGGTTTTCCAGGAAAGCATCAGCATTCCACAACGGCCTAGGTAAATCTGCCCCGTGGAGTTAAATCCCATCTGCCCCACGGGGTAAAACCTATCTGCCTCCGAGGCAAATCCCAGCCTTGGCAGTTATTTTTAGTTGTGTTTTTCCCCTTTTTCTTTACTTTTAATTTTTTTTAAATCAACGTTTTCCAGGAAAGCATTGGCATCCCACCACAGTCTGGATAAATCTGCCCCATGGGGTAAATTCCATCTGCCCCAGGGGGTAGATTCCATCTTCCCCCCCTGAGGTGATTTTCCATCTGCTCCCCCCGAGGAAAAATCTCATCCGTCCCGCAGGGTAAATCCCATCTGCCCCCCGGGGTAAATCCCAGCCCTGGCAGCTATTTTTAGTTCTGTTTTTTCCCTTTTTCTTTATTTTTATTTTTTTATCTTTTTTTTTAAATCAGGTTTTTCAAGGAAAGCGCTGGCATCGCGCCACAGCCCAGTCCAGGGAGCCAGTGAGGGTCCGGATAAGGCTTGTTCACCACCCCCCCAGGCCATCCCCAGGGCCTGGGAATGTCAGGGTGGCTGTTCCGGGCAAGGCGCCGGGATCCATCCACGATGGGGGAGGAGGTGACAGCCCTGGGAGGCTTCCCAGGAAGCAGCGCCAAACCCTCACCCTGCCAAACCCCACAGCCCCCGGCCCCGGCCGAGGGAATCCCCTGCCCTGACCCCCGGGAGGGGACAGAGACAGGGGCCACCTCCACTCCCTGGGGGCAGGAGTCCCCTCCACCTCCCCAGTGCCGTTTCCATCCAGAAAGTCCCAGCAGAACTTGTTTCTCCCACCCCGCCAGTGCCTGGCCTCACTTCTCCCAGTAACCCCAGCCCCAAACTGGGCTCGTTAATGCTCCCGCGGGTCCAGGATCTCCACTGGGGGATCCACTGGGACCTGGAGGGCTCACACTGCAGGAAGCCCCACTTTGCAGCTACTGAGGCCCATCCCTGTCCCCTGGCTCATTCCCAGGGCGCTTTTCCCACCCTTCCCACTTGAATCCCTTTGGCACGACAGCGCTGGCACAGCTGGAGAACCACGACAGCAGGGTGAGCATGGGGACACTCACCCCTAACCCACCCCTCGGCTTTTCCTCCGGAGCCAAGAGCCAGTGAAGATGGCAAAAGCCTATTTTTAGCCTCAGCACAGCAGCAGCTCCGTTCCCAGACACGAAGGTTTCCAGATGGACACCCTCACCTGCCCAGACACCCCCTTGCCACCCCATCCCATCCCACCCCACCCGTGGGTGCCTGAGGGTGCTGCCCTGAGGGAGCTTGGGGACATCAAGCTGGGAGGAGGGAGGAATGTTCCCAGGGGTTGGTGATCCCGTTGGACCAGCTGGTGCTTTTTGGAAGCTCCACGTGCTGCTTTTCCCTGTGGAAATGCCCATGGACGAGGGGGGTTTTGGGGGGTGCCAGCTGCACCCTGAGCTCATGTTGGCTGTTGTGGGGATGGAGGCCGAAGCTGGTGTCTGTGGGGGAAGCTTTGCATCACCCTGAATCCCAAGACCCTCGTGCCTTCCTCCTCCTCTTCCCGTCTTCCCAGCTCCCCGTGATGCTGCAGCACCCCAGGGACACCCCGATGCCAAGAGGCAGCACCCACACCACGCAAAGCCAGAGCCCAGGACAGGGGATGGGTGAAGATGATGGTGCCACAGGTGGGGGGGAAGTTAATTTAACTCCATCCCAGGCAGGCCAGCACCTTCCCCAGGGAGCAGGATCCGGCTCCACAGCTGAGCCGGCCGGGGGTCACATCTGCTCCCGGGCCAAAGGGAAACCGCAGCATTACCCAAGGGGAGGGAAAGGCATTTCTGCTCCCAACACCCCTTCCCTGGGGTGCTGACCCCGGAGGGGGGATCAGGCCAGGCAGAGGGTGTGCTCTGGATACCACCTGGGGAAGCACAGGCAGCCCAGAAACCCCCCTTCCCCCGGGGGTGTATCCTGGGGGAACAGCATCACCCCTTCCAGCCCCAGAGCAGCTCAAATCCAGCCCCGGGGCACCGAGCAGCCCTTTTTCGCAGGGCAGAAAGTGGAAAAAAAAAAAAAAAAGGCACCTTTTCCCCCCTCCCAGGGCTCCAGCTACACCTCCAGATGGTCCCCGGGGCTCAGCAGCGTCTTCACTCCTTCCATATCAGATAAGCAGAGCAGCACCCAAAATAGCTGGCAGCCACCTCGGCCCGGAGCCGGCAGCCCAGGGTTAATTCCTCCCATACCTGAGCTGACATTTCAAAGCTGTTACACAATTACAGAGATTCCTACAGTAACCCTAGAAGTTCCCATCAGAGTTCGGGGGGCTCCCACCCACAGGGGGCTGTTTTCCCACCTAAGGGTGCACCCCCGGCTCCCTCCAGCCCCAATGATAGGAGAAAAAAAAACCAGTCAAACCGATTTCTTTTTATTATGTAAAAATGGTAACTTTTATAAAAAGTTTATAAAGCAAGTACAAGGCATGTTCGCAGAAATTCACCTTCCTGCACAAAAGGTACAAAAAGTTATACTCTAGTATAGAGCTCCACAAATACACGAGGCCACGGCCCCAGAGAGTTTGGTTCATACTCGAGGATGTGTGTGTGTCCCCCTCCCCAAAACCCCCCTAAAAATCCCGCCCTCCCCCATCCCATTAAAACACCTTTACAAAAAAAGGACTCGCTGCTATAATCCAAAAATATACAGACAACCTCCTCTCTTCATCGTATCAGTCTTATGATTAAAAATATCTTGATTAAAAAGTTCGGGTCCGAAGCCGGGATGGGACGCTGAGCTCCGAGGGGGGTGGGATGCTGGCGGTGGAGGGGTGGGGGGGTCGGGACCAGCCGCTCCCCGCCCGCGGTGCCCGGGCCCGGGGGAGGCGATGCCGGGGCCGGTAGGTCGCAGACAGCCCGGCGCCACGGAGGAAGCTGCTATTTACCTCCGGCTGATAACGAACCAGGAACCGACACTCGCTGCCTGTTTGCTAATTGGCACCGGGAGGGGAGAGAGAAGAGGGGGAGGGAGGAGAAAAATAATAGAGATAATTAGTGTGGTGATAAGCGGGGTTGGGGATGGGGATTTGGGAAGAGGGGGGGTGGGAGCCGGGGGACCGCGTTGCTCTGGGCGCATAGGGGTCCCCTGGGGATGCCGGGGGTGGGTGGGTGATGGTGGGGGACGGGGGTGCGGGTTGGGAGGGGATCTGGGGAGGTTGGATTGTTGGGGTCGCTATCAGTCCCCTGGAGACGCCGGGGGGGAGTTGGGTGATGGTGGGGGACGGGGGTGCAGGTTGGGAGGGGATTTGGGGGGGCTGAATTGCTGGGGTCGGTATCAGTCCCCTGGGGATGCCGGGGGGTGGGTTGGGGGAGTGGACTGAGGTGCGGGATGGGGATTGTGGAGGGGGGGAGATGGGATCGTTTTGGTGGGGCTGCTATCGGTGCCCTGGTGATGTTGGTGCTGGGGGGCCGGGACGCGACTGCAATGGGGTGTATGGGAAGGAGGACTGGGGTGCAGATGGCGGCGGGGGGTCGGTGCGGACACTCACCTGATGGAGGAGCCGTTAGTGACACAAACTTCTCTCGTCTTTGGAGCAGAGCTCAGAAGCGAGTTCGGCCGCCTGCGGAGAGACGGGACACGGCTTAGGGTCACCCCGGCGGCGAGTGATCCCCATTCCTCCCCCTTCCCCAGCGCGCCAGGACCCCCCCAACACACCCAGGACCTGCATCCCCCCTCTCCCAACATGTATCTCCCTCCAACTCAACATATCCCCCCTCCCCAACATACCCACTCCCCCAGCCCAAACCAGCCCTTACCTTAAGGGAGAACAGCGTGGCCTCGGAGGAGGGGTCGCGGCCCTTGGCCCCCTCCTCCAGCACGATCTGGAGGTCGAAGATGTAGTCGATGACGTGCTGCAGGATCTCCACCTGGCTCACCTTGGTGCCTTGCGGGATGCCCGGCACCAGCTCCCGCAGCTTGGAATAGCAGTCGTTCATATCGTACAGCAAGTTCATAGGCTCTTCCAAGGCCGGGCTCTTGTTGTGGCTGCCCCGGGCGATGGCAAAACTCTGCTCCGAGAGGCAGCAAACGGCCTCGTAGCAGCTCCGCACGGAGCGCACCGGGCTGATGGCTTTCATGGTGGGCTCGGAGCTGGGCTGGGGGCGCAGGACGGGGGGTGCCTGGGGGTTGTCGCGGCGGCTGTGGCTCTGCTGGGACCTCCGAGCACCGGGACCACCAAAGCCTAGATCTTTGAGCGCCGGGATTGTCACCCCCTTCACCCTACAACCTTCAGACCTCGCTGGCGGACTGGGGGGGAATGGCCCCGCGCCGCCCTTTATATAGACAGCGAGGCTCGGTCACACCTCCTGTATTAAAATTGAATCAAACCCCACCCTTTTCTATGTAAAATAACAATTAAACCACCCCTTTTATTGTAAACTAAGCCCTAAACCCCGCCCCTGCATGTTAATGAAGGCTCAACCCCCGCCCCTGTATCTCAATGAAGTCTTAAACCCCCTCTGCCTCCCCCCCACTGCCCCCCAAAATTGACCCTTAGTGGCCGGAGTGGCCCCACGAGGGGTGACACGACCACGCGGGTCCCCCATTCCACAGCCAGACCCCCAAACCCACCCCCTTCGCGGGGGGATTCCTCCCTAAACCCCTCGGACACCCCAACCCCAGCCCCCCCCGAGTGCCCCCCTCTGCGTGCCAGTGAATCCCCCCTATTTTTAGGCAGGACGATGGGGGTTCCCCCCCCCCTCCAACCTCCCAGTTTTAAGGAAATTAGTGCCGCCCTGTTCCTCAATCCGCTTCTCATCTGACCTCCAGACTTTCTGGCGTCAGGAATTATCTTGTGACCAGCAGAAAAAAATTAATTGCGGTAAAACTGAGGTTACGATGGAGAAACCAGATTTAGGTCAGCGCCTGCGAGAGGCCTGGAGGGTTCTTTTATTTTGGAGGGGGGAAAGAGGAGATTTATAGGCAAGGGGGTTATTCCAGTAGAAGTGATGAGGGGGGGATGAAGGAAACCCCCCTCCCGAACCACCTCTGCCTCAAAACTTACAGAATCCAAGAATATCCGTGGAAAAAGCCCAAAGCTGGAGCGATGTGGGGTCCCCACGGCTGTCAGCGCAGCGGGTGGCACATGGAGGGGTCCCGGGGAGGGGGGTGACACCCCCCAACACCCAGATTGTGAATCCTTATGAGCCCAAGGGGCAATCCCCCCCTTCCTAAATACTGATTTCTGCAGGCTGTAGTTATGGGGGATGTACTGGGGGTTTGCTTCTGGAATTGCAGGAAGGGGATGTTACTGAGAGGGTGGGGGGGCACCCTGGGACCCTGCTCGGCCCGGGGGTCCCAGCTAATGAGGGGTGCAGGGGGGTGGGGGGCAGAGGCACCTGGACCAAATTACTCCTGCCCACAGCAGCAATTTATTCCAGATCTGCCTAAATCCCAGTTCGGTGGCGCTGGGGGTTTATTTCCCTCCTTTCCACCCCCCCCAAAAGGGGTCTGGAGGCCGCAGGCTGGGGGGGAGGCACCCACCCTCCCCGAGTCTCCCCCAATCCGTGAGTCTTTCAACAGCCCCCCAAAAAGACCTTCAAAGCAGCCTCCAGCTCTTTTTGGGGTTGGATTATTTTTTATTTCTTCCTGCCCCCCCCCCCGCCCCTCCCGCCCCAGCTCGTTATGAATTTCCTGGGAAATCGCCTCCGTGTGAAGGGTGGCAGCTTGGGAATAGACATAATTACCCTCATTAACCTGCTTGGGAGCAAGAGCCAGGAACCCAGAGCCCCCCCCCCTAAAAATAAGAACAAACCAAAATTAAGTTAAAAAAATTTTTTGCAAAAATTAAACAAAAAAAAAAAAAGAAGAAACGTAAAAGTCAACGAAATTCCCAAAAATTTAAAAAATGTTTACAAAACATTTCAAAACTCTTTTCAAACCACATAAACGCTTTTTAACGAGTTAAACGACACCCCCCCCCCCCCCCCCCCCACACCCCCCCCCTTTTCCCCCAAAACCCCCCCCCCCCTTTTCCCCCGGGGGGGGGGGGGGGGCTGAAAAGCTGCAGGGGGGTTGGGGGGGGGGGGGGGGAGTTGAGCTTTTGTTTGCAGGGGGGTTTTGTTGGCGGCGGTTCCCACAGGCCCTGCCTGGGCGGCGGGACCCGCTGCCTTTGCCCAGCTGTGGCCCGGGCCCTCCAGCTGTGTTGATCTAACTCCCGGCCCCAGACAGCCTGGCGCCAGCCCTGCGCACGTCATGCATTCACACAGGGATGCGTGGCCAAGGCAACCTCCCCCCCCCCCCCCCCCCCCCCCCCCCCCCCCCCCCCCCCCCCC